CAAGCAAATTTTGATTTGCTGGTGGCCAAAATAAGTAGCTGGAAATCTAGTTTCCCTAGAATGGAAAACTCCTGCTTTGTATTTGATATGTCATTCCTCCTTACAGCTGCAGCAGATGAAACTTTTTGGCAAGTTCCCCATTCAGTAAGTTCTCTTTTATGCCGTGAAGATGATCTAGGACTGCTATGTACTTACAGGTTTCTGCACTCAAGAACAGATTGAAGAAAGTCTCCACAACTACTGGGGATGGAGTAGCAAGAGCATTCCTAAAAGCCCAGGCCTCTTTCTTTGGGAGCTACAGAAATGCACTGAAAATTGAACCCGTAAGTAGGACGTCCGTATGTTAACACAAATGCAGATACATAGTAGTGGAAATTGCCCATAAGATGTTCAGATGGAGGTTGTAAATAATGCTAAGAAGGTTATAAGGATTTTATGGAACTTAATAATACCGACTCAGTTGGAATGCTGCATGTGGCATTGGTCAATGATCTCAAGATGTTGTGGAAATAGAAGGGTTCAGCAAAGAGGAGTTTGATTTAAAGGGTCTAGAAGAACTCTTGTATAAAGAGAGCATGAAAAGAATTAGTATTATTTACTTCAGAAAGGAGATAATTTAAGAGGGGATACGATGGACATTGGTAGAATAATACAAGGTATGGGGAATATAGATTGGGAGCTTCTCTTCACTCTGTCTCATAACACAAGAATAAGGGGGCAATGATTGAAATGTAAAAGGTAAAAAAAATTCAAACCAATAAAAATATTTTTCACCCCTGTTATTGCAATGTGGAACTCACTTCAATAGGAAGGCATTGAGGAGATTGACATTATCCAGATAAATATTCAATAATGAGAGTCATTAGTTAATGCCAAAAAAGCTTTGAAGGGATATTCATCCTAATACTTCAGGGATTAAGCCACTCTCTATCTATTCTAGATCAGGATGAGACAATGTGTTCTGCCTACTTTGGGGTTCTTGTACCTTCTTTTGAAGCAGTTGGCATTCACTGCAGTCAGTCACTTTACTGGACTAGATAGACCTCAAGTTTGATCCAGTCTGGCAATACCTATATTCCCATGTAAGGGTTTTATGAAGCTCTACTTATGGTGATTGACCTCCCCTGAGAAAACAGAGCATGTTCAGAGTCCTATAGGCCCACGTGATAGATAGGGACTGAGTAGATGATCTGATGAATGTGTTAGCTATAATGCACAAGGTTTGAGCCAGATGGAAAGGGCTACTTATCTCAGTGGACCATAAAATACCTGTAAAAGTCTTAGAGCCCTATTCACTTCCTCTTCTTTCCCTCAATACAGAGGAGACTACTACACAGGTAAATTAAAGCAAAATGTGGGGGATATTCTCTACCTAAAGTTCAGGGCTTATTAAAGCTACTGCATCTTAGACTAACGGGAGGTGCACAAGAAAATCCCCACTGAGTGGAGAATGTACCTTTTGCCTTAACGTGGAGAATTGGTGACTGCAGTGAGGAGCAGGAACAATTTAGAGAGAGGCTGAGTTGGAGTAATGAGAGTGGATGAGTTAGTGGTGACTCAAGGAAGGGTGCTATCTTCTGCATTCTGTCTCTGGAGATGAATATAGGATTCTGGTACGCAGCGTGTAAACACCTTTCACCCACACAGTTGGTTACAACAAAAGACAGAATTTGGGAAACAGATGTAGTTCTTTGATTTCCTTTTATTTTCCCTATCCAGAAATCCATCACAGCCCCATTAATACTACACTCAATATTTTGCATACTATGAATTATTTGTTGATTTCATAAAGGTGGTGGGAGAGAGATAGCTTGATCAGATTTTTAAATAGTTTATCCAGCATCTTCAATGAATGAGAATCATTCCATCCAGACATAGTCACTGTTAAAAAAATAACACTGTTGAATTCAGCACAGCTCAGTCTGTTTGTCCTATTCTGATAGCAGAGAGATATGTATGGTGTGTGTATAAATATAAATGTATTTGATGTATCTGAGCACAGCTTATAGCAGTTGTCAGGTGTGGATGTTGTGCTTTTAACATACCAAATATGAACTAAAAGGAGCTACTTTAATTCCCATCCATATAATTAATAAAAGTGAAAGCAGCCACGCAGCCTGGCTGTAAGCCTCCTTTATCCATGTCAAGCAAACACCGACTTCCCTTCATTCGTTTAGGCCTTTCTTGCTCTCTGACACTCCTCCCACTAGTTGCCAGGCAACTCTGGGAGTATTGGTGTGCGTGCTGCTTCGATATGTGAGAGGGATTAACTAGTTAAGGTTGGGGGTTTTATGAAGAAGAATAAAATTGTCAGTTGCTTTACTGGGAATAACATCTGGTATTCTGAAGGCTGAAGGGTACAGATGAGATATCAAAATTGGTTGATGATGACACACATCTTGGAAATGACAATTCCCCCTTCTAGAACGAGCTCATCGGAACAAGATAGAACCCTCTTTTGATTTGCTCATTATTCCCACAAACAGAAACTCTACACATAATTGAAAAAGCCCATTGTACAAATCTGTCTTAGAAAAACCCTTTTATAGGAAGGTTCTCAGTCTAATCTCAAAGATCAGGGAATATGTAGGAACCTCTGTTTCTTCTTCGAGGAGTGTCTTTGTGGGTGCTCTGTTAGGGGCCTCGTCGGAGATTTACAGTACCAGTGCCCCCTGGTAGGCTGTGCCCGCCAGACAGAGAGCATGCACGGTGCCCCGACTGGCCATCCATTCGCTTCCTTCTCTAGCACCACCAGCATTAGTCAGAACCTCTGTTGCTCTCCAGTTTTGTTTTGAAGTACTTTAAAAATGTGAATATTTCCGTATTACTTACAGAGGTAGCTAGCGTTACAGTTCTTTCTAGTTTAGAGTTAAGGTTTTTTGTCTTCAAATTTTTAAAAAAAATCCGAAGCAGCGGGGAGGAAGGGCGGGTGGTGGAGCACCCACAGGGACAGCCATCTCGAAGAACCTCCATTACTGCACAGGGTGAGTAACCTTCTCCTCTTTCTTAAATTTTTAGATATGTTCTCATAACAGTATACATTTTTTTAATGCTGTAACAAATATATTCTATGAAAACACGGCAACTTTGTGTGCTAGAAGCCCCTTGATTGTTAGCTAGAATGCTATGTTTAAACCCTGTATGTTTCAAACCATCTTGATGGACTTGTGATTAAAGCATAGATTAGGCCTAAGAGTCAGGTGACCTGGATTCTGTTACCGTTTCTGCCAAGGATTTCCTGCATAGTCTCGGCCAAATCATACAATCTATGAAAGCCTCAAGGTTTCTTCTGTAAAATACTGATGACTTACCTCCGTCAGTGGAGAGAGGTAGTTTTGAGGCACATAGTTCATTAGGAATTAGTTCAGATTATATTGGGAAAAGCTTTAAATTTTGCCTGATGCATAGTGATTGTCAGAGTGCAGAACATAGCTTCAGACTGACCTCATACAGTCAAGCTGTGACTAGAGTGACACTTCATCTTGCTTGAATCATTGTGGGCCAAATTTCTGTTTACAAGAGCACACGTAACAACAAGCTGGGGGATGCAGGAAAGTTTCCGGTCGGCTTTAAGAAATTCTCCTTTGTCAATATCTTGAGTACCTCTCAGCCTATGTCATTGGCTAATACTTCATCCTTGTGTGGTCAAACTGTATCCAGTGAAGAGAGGAAGGTTCCCTGATGATGGAGGATTGGAAAGGTCTGATCAAGTCTAGAGATAAATTTGATGGTCTCCCTTCCTCCCCCATGCTTTAGGAAGTTTGACTTATGAATATAAGCATGCATATCTAAAGTATCTCTGGGTATGTCTAGACTGCATCCCTCTGTCGGCAGAGGCATGCAGATTAGGCAGGTCAACATTGCAAATGAGGCAGGGATTTAAATATCCCATGCCTAATTTGCATAAAAATGGCCACATAAGGCTTTCTCTCTCGACAGATCCCCCTTTAGACTGCTGCTTTTTGCCGACAAAGTGCTGAGTCAGCAAAACGGGGCAGACATTTTTTATGCAAATTAGGTGCCGGATATTTAAATCCCTGCCTCATTTGCAATGTTGACCTGCCTAATCTGCATGCCTCTGCCGACAGAGGGATGCAGTCTAGACATACCCAGAGATACTTTAGACAAAATACCCTATGTAACCTATCGATTTTAATGTTACAGTCTGCTGGATCTTTATATCCTTTTTTAGTGTGTGTGTTATTCTTGTATGAAAAGTTAGAGATATGACGTTTGAGACTATTTATAATTCTAAATGTGCTCATGAGAGCCGTTAATGTTCCCTCCTTTACCCTCTCCCCTTTGTTTGTCCTGTAAGTCCAAAGGTGATTGGACTAGTAAGACATGTTACCGTACGACGTGGTACTGGAATTGCATTTTTTGACCCAGGTAGTTTTCCATAGAAGGGGGAATGTAGAACAAAAGGTTCCCACCCTGGGGAAAAGACTATTTAAGCAAGAAGTTATCAGCCCTTTATCTTTGACTGGTCTGGAAAATCCTGGAAGGATACAAAGGGCTGGAGACCCAGATCAAGATAAAAAAATGTTGTCTCTGCCCTGAAGATTATGCCCGGAACAGCTCTTTAGAATAAGAATTTACTTGCAATAAGTTTTCTAGTGAATTAGTACTAGCTGTTCATTTTCTTTTCATTTTAACTTAGTAATTTACTTTGATATGTCTGTTTTCACTTGCAACCACTTAAATCCAACTGTTTGTACTTAATAAAAACACTTTAATTTACTATCTGGACCAGTGTAAATAATTATTCCCTGGAGGAGATGACCAGTATGCCTATCTCTCTTTCATTGATAGGGTATGCATTTTCATGAGCTTTCTTTGTGTAAAACTTTTACTCAGAGAAAGACCAATTTATTTGCGATTTTGATCCCTTTTGAGGGTAGTTTTCCTGGATGCTGTGCCTTAGAATTGCATTCTCCCAATGCTGAAATGGTTCAGTGTCTGCATTGCTCTTCAGGGTGGGTGGTGGGGGCATGGCGGTAACCAACTCTGTGCCTTGCCTGGGGGAGACCAGAGAATCTGGCCCATCAGGACATTGTGGTAGGGAGCCCCGAAGAGGAAGAAGGTGAGTATCATTGGTATAATCAGCACACCAGTGAACAATCCCAAGGGGTTTTCTGTGATCGCACCCCATCAAGCTCAGTTTCTTAGGCTGTGCAGCTGAGACATCTTCAGCTACTGAATCTCATTCAGGTTTCGCAGGTGTCTGCTGGAGGTTTTAGACTAGAAGAACTCTCTCCCTGAAAAAAGCTCTTCATGGCAACATTTTCCAAATAATTAAGGTCTTAGTTTTAAATGTTTTAAT